TATTTTCAGGTGACGAATGGCAATTTTTCAACTGATGGAAAAAATAAGAGACTTCTGTGGCGGTAAATCGTACAAGAGAACCCTGTAGAGGTCACAAATGTAATAAGGTCACAAATGTAATACAGGTCACAAATGTAATAAGGTTTTGGTCACAAATGTAATAAGGATCACAAATGTAATAAAGGCTATGGTCACAAATGTAATAAGCCTAGATTACAGTGCTGACAGTTTCTTGCTGCATTTCCAAGTGTGATAAAGTCATTCTTTGAATCTTGCAAGTGGTGTACAAGTGGATCTGGTTCAGTGCGTAGACCTCAAAGTCGTATGCTATCATGGTAGTTACGTGGGATAAAGTTTTTGGATGTTCATAAACCCTAAAATGCTATTTTATCTTGTTACTATTATGATGCTATATATTGCACTCATCTAAAGTAACGCCGCTACTTAAATGGAATTGCTTCCATTGACCGATCTCAACTATGAATCAGATGAATGCAAGTCTTCCATGTACAGATTAAATAGATTAATGCGGTATAGCTCGCCTGAGATTGAGTTAGAGCAAATTCTCAGAGTTTTGTGACTTGATTGACCTAGTCGCTGACTTTTTCACCGACAGGCCWGTCCTCCTTGCTACTACAGCCCCAAGATGCTTATGGCCTTCAGATTTGATGTTTATTGTTGTATCGCCAAACATCTTCTAAGCGTCATTCTTGCGTTCTGGTTTGGTTATAAGCCAGCATWTCTTTGCAATAGGGAAATACCCTAGTGCAGGCYTACTTCCTGACGTTTTAAAAAAAGCCACATCCAGAGGCAACGTCCGCAAACCAATACTGTTTTGCTAAACTTGACAGTTGTAGTCGAGTTATGAGCGGCTGCAGACTTTGTGAGTGGGTCTCCTTGATTAGTTCCTTTAGAAGATTGTAGAGAGTCCTGCAGGTGCTCTAAATGTATTGATTYCATATCTTGCTGTGGTTGGACATATCAATCTGATCATATTGTCCAGTTGTCATCACTGATCACATCTCTCGATACCCTTACCCTATCCCAAACCAATTTTTTTGATTTTATATACCCTACCCCGGACTAAAGGTACAAAGGTACATTATTTTAGCGCTGAAAGCGTGGCCTAGCAGATACGAYCACAGAAAAAACTCCACCCTACCCAGGCAATGAGACTATACCCTGTAATACTATGTCTCGCCCCACATGTCTCTCCGTACACATGTAAAAACATACAGTTATGTATAGAAATAAACCAAACTAGAAAGCATTACATACCCTATCCTAGACAAAAAACAACCCTATCCCAGAAAAAAACTACTACCCTAGCCCAGACAAATGGACAAAAAATAATACCCTATCCCAGACTTGGAGCTCTGAAAAAGGGACCCTATTCTGCGGCACATACCTGTATAGCAAATATAGGAGAGTACACCCCACCCTGGGTAGAGCTGAATGGATTTGCTCTCTCAAAATAAAACTTTARCTTTGTTTGGTGGTACAGATCTCTGTATCTCTGTAAGACGTCTCTGTTTTTTGGGGAAGCATGGGTGGCCGCGAGGTGAGAGCGCTGGCCTTTTACCTCTGTGGACCCTGTTTGATCGAATCACGGTAGGGACGCCATATGTGATTTGAGGTTCTTTCCTTCTCTCCCTTGCTTCAAGGGTTTTCTCCGGGTCATTTCCGGATTTTCCTCCCTCAGTAAAAATGAACTATTTATATCTGCTGTGCTCCGCGATCAGTCGACGTTGCTATATGTAAAGGAAGTGCCTACCCCACATCATGCCTGTGTGTAAGTGTATGTAAAATGTGCCTGTAATATAGCACCTCGATTTGAGAGCGCGTCGAGCTGCGTCTTTCGCAATTTAGCACCCATGCTTCCATGAAGGACGATTAGCAACCAACATCTATAATATATTCCTTAGCTATAAAAGTGCAAACACGTTTTCGGGCGTGGCTGTTGCAGTCTTGTCCTCTTTAATCAAATGGCATTTTCGAATTTTGGAAAGATATTCCACGCGGCTGGATCAGGCAAAAAAATAATAGAGGGCTATTAGCGATAGGCAATACGACTTAGTAAAAATAACTAAATAAATAACATAACTCAAGATTGCGACATATAGCGGTTTCGGAGAACTGATGACCCAGTG